TGTAAATCGTTACACCAGATGAGGCCGAAATGTTAATTTAGCCTTTTCTCTCCGCGCTCTTTTCTGATTAAAAAAAAAAAAAAAAAAAAAGGATACCGCGCCTCACTCCCCCGCCCTTATCATCTGGCCCCATCCCTTCCCCACCCTCTCCGTCCAATATCTCCAATCCAAACAATACGTTAGTCTTTGGTCAAAGTAGCAGCGCGGTTGCGGCTACCCACTTTATATTTCACTGCCTTCTCTCTCTTTGATCGGAGCACTCGTCTTCTTTTCCTTCTTCCGAAAGAGCATTGAATTGGAGCAATTAAGCTGCTTGTGATATCGAAGGGCACGGAAGCGGGTCGGCATAATGGATGAGAGTCCTGAGACTAGCGGCTCTGTCCACCCCAATTCATTAGGTAATGGAAATTGGAATTTTCTTTTCGGTTCTTTTTTTTTTGAACGGTATGAGTTTACTTTTATTTCTTTTTAATTTATATTTACTATACTTGAAGTTGTAGTAGCAAAGGGGCAAATTACTGGTTGTGTTTCCAGTGTCTTTAATGTTTAATTTTTTTTTTTCTGATAAGCATCTTTAATGTTTAATTCGTTTGTATTTTATTATGAATGTGATAGATGTGCAAAGTTTAAATTTAATGCTTCCTAGAGTGACTATAGATACTTTTTGAAGGCATCTTAGAGCTTTTCTTTAAAAAAGTTTTTAGTTTGGACTTACAGGCTAAGGAAATGTGGTTAATTATAATCTTCCCATTCAAAACAATAATTAGAATGGCCTTGACTTGAAAATAATGAGAATCGAATTGATTTTCAATAAGAAGGATGTTCAAAAATATATGAGAATATGTTAGAGATGATTGAATAAATGTTCTGTGAGTAGAGTACCAACAAAAAGTCTTAGGTCTGACGCCAAGCTCTAAAGTTAGATAATATTTTTGACAGTGCTGTTTAAGTAGTTACTCTCCATACCAATGGATTGAGGATTGCACTTTTTAGCAACCCTAACTGTGCAACGATCGTTTTCCTGCTTGCTGCCCAGACCCTAAGAGCTTGCTCATATATACATGGTCCTATTTTTTTTCACCTTCAAATATATGGTTGGTCGTAATTTAATCCTATTAAATTGATATGAATGTAGAAATGCTCTACCATGCATTCCTTTTCTACGTTTTGTTTCAAGTAATTTGCAGTACTTATGGCTTATAATTGGTATGGTGCAGATATTGAGCAGCTATTCTTAGAAGCAAAGCATCGGTGGTTATTCCCAGCTGAAATATGTGAAATTCTTCGGAATAATGAGACATTGCCGATTGCCTCAGAACCCTCTAATAAGCCACCAAGTACCATTCCCTATCTCTAATTGGCATTACCATTTAGACATAATTCCTTTTGCAAGACAATGACAATTGTTCTGGTGACATCTATAGTTTGTATTGACATGAATCCAA